GGCAAGACAGGGTTATATCGGTTAGAGGGGCGTTATATCGGTAAACTTGAGTATGAACCCGAAAGAAATTTTTTAAATCATATTTCCATTTAAAAGATTTAATCTATACAACACATCAATGAAGAGTAGTGGTTGCTCAGGGGGTAGAACGCTCACTTCCCAATGAGGTGAATTGGGTTCGAATATCAGTGGTGGCTGAAATGAATTTTGCATCCAACTCGTACCGAACGCAGTACTGACGGAAAATATTCTCAGTGGTAGACGAATCATAGGTTAGAGTGCCCTTGCCATCAGGCTAACCGTGAGAAGTTTCCATGGTTTTCTTCTCCATGTAACTAAACGCGGATTACTTCCATCAAAAAAAGTTCCACGAAGGTAAATTTCCCCTGATGCTTATTCCAGGAGTTCTACTATCTTCTGGATTCGGTTCACACTTACGAGGCTACGGAGTTGAACATTAGTAGTCGTAAACTCAAAAATTGGGTCGGCAGTTCAACGACAGTTATAAATAAAATTCATCAACAAATAGCTGTTTTGGATCAGGGAATATAACTTGCCTCCCAATGAGGTAACCCGGGTTCCAATCCACAGCCGGTTTGCGCCGCTGACGTAAAATATTCTCAGTGGTTCACGGAATATCGATAAGTATCCCCTCACTGTCATTATAACACTGGTAAAAGCATACTTAATGTTTATAATAATTATTCTTAATGTTGTTGATAAAAATTACTTTACATGATATTTACTATTTTAGACAATGTATTTGTTAGCAAAACTGAAATTTCGATTAGTATAAGATGCATTCCAGTGTAATGTTATTGATGTGTATGGTTTTAATTTTTTATGTCGATAGAAGTCAATGAAAACTGCATTCATCTAAAAACAGAGAACTTTAAATTCAATTTTTTTAATAATATTTATTCATGCAAATAAATTCTAGTGAAGTTTCATTATATGTGTCCCGATTTCCGTTTTTTATTCTACGCAACTGTCTATGCCTGACCAAGTTCTACTAGACAACGAAAAAGTCTGAAGTATCTGAAACAGGCTTCCCCGACCCAGGGGTGACTATCTCCTCCAATCAGATAGCTTATTCTAGTCACTAACTAGACTTGTTATAAGAGTGGGAAAAGAATAAAAATAGCTAAAATACACATATCAACTCGTGAAAAAATAATTCTAAAAAAATGTAAAACTAATTTTCATTATTTACATACTTATTTAAAGTTATCTTTAATTTGTGCACATTAACAGTCTAACAAACTAAAGATTATCATGATTAAATAAGATTACATAGTAAAGTAAAACAAAATAATGTAGAAAAAGAAATATTAAGAAAAATAGATACTAGAGAATTTTTTCTTAATGCAGGAATTTTTTTNAGTTTAAAAAGTTTGAAATTTTGTCCAGGGACAAGTCAGATGAATCTCATGCCTGGCTATAAAAGAAATCAGCTATAAAATTGAAATGTGAATTGAGATAATCTTCAATTAGTAACAATCTTTAATAATTAAGAGTTTGAAAAAAAAGGTTGGTAGATTTTGACTTGAAAATATTTCGTATTTCATGCAAATTTTGCACTTAATACACAATAGAATTATTTACTTAATGGACAGAAAACATTGAGAAAAATATTATAAAAACTTTAAAATGGCGAGCATAAATTATTAAATTGATCATTAATTTTTGCAAAAATTTAAACATTTTTGACTGAAGCAATGTAAGAAAAGCAAAAGAAACATTAAATAAATTGCATGTGAAAACTAAAAACTTATCTATAAAAATAAACAGATTTTAAATAAAATAATTTCATCAACAAATAATTTGAGTGAAATGTTTATTATTTTACAATACTTAGTCAAAAACTACAATTTAAAAGAAAAACAAAAATTTTAAACATAGAAATTTTTCATAAATACAAATTATTATATCTTCCTCTTACAAAGCAAATATCATGTTTAAAAAAAAGCCACAAAATATAAGTAAACAGCAAAAAAAGAAGAAATAATTACACCAGCATAAACAAATATTTTTGGCGAAAAATGTAGACCTCCAACTTATAAAAACGCATAAAAATTAAATAAAATAATTAAATTTATTGTGCCAAGCAAACTGAAAAATACCTTGTTTTCGAATCCTCTTGTGCACCGATACCACAAGGATAAATAGATCCAGAACCTGTGTTCATCATCCAGTGTACTTTGAAAAAAGCCATTTCAAACTATTTAACTGAGAATATGCTCTGAAAGAGAATTAGAAAAATTTTAGAAAATTTCAACTAAACATCCATAGAAGAGTATTTAACAATGTTTTCGAGTAAAGGCATGACAACTTACTTCATCGAAATGAAGTAAATTTTCATGCCAGGGAAAAAAATCAAAATTGAAGCAAAGAGGACAAGGTTTATTCACAGTGGAGAAAACTGACAAACCACTAAAGTCAAAGTTGGCACACATTTGACAATTGACTGTTTTATCCAGATTTAACCATAGTTTTTCACAGTCATATCAGATACCTAAAAGTTCAG